AAAAACCTTGCTACAAAGAGTTGGTTATAGACTTGAGTTACATTTTGGCTTACATTCTTTTACCACATCTGTGACCACTAATAAACAGTTCGAGCACTAGCACTTGCGAATGGCCAAGACAGTGTGAACAATGTAGGAAATAGTGGGTGGCTAGTTTTCCTTTGATAGTGGGCCTGTATCTTTGAAGAAAGTCTTTGCATTCTGAAGGCAAGCATTGAGAAAGGATCTCGACATCAGCCTGGTTTCTTTCTGGTCTCCAACATCCTGATTGATTCCTGTTTCGTAGGATTTGCTGTGTTTAATAAGTAGCAGCAGACAGTCAGATAGCATACTAATGGATGCATGAGTGGAGTTTTTTGGACTGAGGGGAAAAAAACAAGGAATAAAGCAGGTCCTATGCTCTGACATTTACTTAACACTTATATCAGCCTTAATTTACGTGTAGGTGGTTTTGATCTTAGAAGGATTCAGAGTTTTGGAAGGTTGTCAAGGTAACTGCAAGCCTAATTTGTTCTCTTCCACATCAGGTTTTGGACCACATATGTTCCACCCAATGGGACCGCCCCCTCCTTTCATGAGGGCTCCAGGACCAATCCACTACCCTTCTCAGGACCCTCAGAGAATGGGAGCTCATGCTGGAAAACACAGCAGCCCCTAGCACTGCGTCAGCACTCAGGGGCTCTGAGGAGGAAAGGGCGCTCTAAAATCCCAGTAAGTGAATCCTGGGATAAGTATAATTTCCCTTGCTTTGTAGTTTCCATGGTAGCTGAATGTGTTCAGATGTGGGAGAGAACACAGCTATGCTTCCCCACAAGTATTCAGAGGTTTGGTGGGCCTAAAACAAGCTGCCATGAACACAGCTGCTTACCGCTCTAGCAGTGCTGGACAGCCTTATGTCTGTTCCCTTCCCACCTTCTGGGGAACACACACGCACATGGGAACCGGAATAACTAACGGAGTTACCAATCCCATGTGTTTATTTTGGATCTTTTTGGGCGGGAGGCAAAAATTGACCTGCGGTTTGAAAAAAACCTTTTGACCATTTTTATGTCTATTTGGTATTTTCTTTTATATCATCTAAAAAAAAAAAAATTAGTACTAATCATTGTAGTGGCGTAAATGTGATTTAACTAATTTGAAGTCACACTCTTCAGAGACAAGCAGAGACCAGAACCCAGCACAGCCGATACTTTCTTTGCATTTAAAACTTCATATGTTACTAAAGGAGTCAACTGATAATTTTACTTCACACTGTCGGGAAAAGACAAAAGTAAAAACTTGCTTTTTATTCCTGTTGGATGGGAACCCAAATTTTATGGCACTGCATATCATTGATGAAACCTAGTGCCTGAGAAAACACAGCAGCCCCTAGCACTGTAGAAATGGTTTTAACGAACTTCCTGTGAAACACTTTAACAAACTGAAAGGAAGAGCCTTGGAGTACGCTTGACCGGAAGACTGGCCACCTTCAGCTGGAACTGGATCTTCAGCATTCACCTGTGTGTCTTCAGCGGCTCATCATTCGCTGCCTCTGGGCAGCAGACTCTCTGTTCAGTCTTAGGATGTTTGGATTTAACTGAGTTGTAGATGGTAAGGGAAATTTGATGTTGTATTGTATTTTTGTTTTTAAATAATTAAAACGGGTCAATTTTCCAAATGTTCCTGGATTTCTATTTCTTTTACCCTTGGCTATTGAACGGGAGATAGGTGAAAGAAACAAGTTATGTACATGTGAAGTTTTTCCAATCTTTGGATTGGATTTTTTTGCTGGCTGGGGATGGGTATGCAGTTTGAGGTAAAATCTTCATATGTAGCTCAGGTTAGTCTTAGAAGCCCTGTGAGCACTGGGATTCTAATTTTTTTTTTTCTTTTCATTCCATGATGGTAAAAATACTAAGCCTTTATAGTACTAAGAAGTCGGTATGCAGACAGGAAGCTCAACATGGTGACACATGCCTTAATCCCAGCACTTAGCAGGCAGAGGCAGGTAGATCTCTATGAGTTTGAGTTCAGTCAGGGCTACATAGTGAGACCTGTCTTCAGAAAAAAGAAAAGAAACAGCATTTATCGAGAGTCATCTGTGGCTTTCGATGAATGGTAACTTCACATGTCATTCTTACACAAACCACTATAAAGAAAAACAGCAAAATCTAAAATGTTTGATGCCATTTTCTTTTTAATCTAAAATCTGTGCTGCAGAGCTCACATGTGTAGCTTGGAAAACAAGAATTAGACGGTTCCCTCTTTTTCAGTCACCCAGGTCCCCGGCCAATTGGACAGTGCCACCTCATTACAGAGAAGTCTTGGCGTAGTTCACTGACCTGCACCCCGAAGCTCCACTAAATCCTTGCAGGCACGCCCACAAACATCTCCTTAGTTCTGTGGCTTCTCTCTGTGCACAAGCTGACTCAGATGAGCTGGTGCACATCTGTGTACCATTGCTGCTACGAAGTGTTACTACTAATATTTTTGAGCAGTTCTTTATACTTTTCTCAGACTTGACTTTTTTTTTTTTTTTTTTACCTCTGGGATACAATGTGGGGACTTAACAATTTATTAGTTCATGTGTAATGTAATGAATTTATCTGTCCATTGGCTTTTTAAAAAATGTTTTGGTGGTTCTGGGGACTGAAAGTTAACCTTTCCAAAGAAGGGATCATTTTAATAGAATGTGTACAGCAAAGTACATAGAACACACATGTACAACAGACTTGAACTATTTTAAAGTGGACATCTGTCTAGAAGTCAGATCTAGAGACAGAACTTCCAGTCACCCTTGAGATGTTCACGTTCCAGTGATTCTCAGCTACAAACCCTTCCCTCCTGAGTTGCCTCTTATTTTATGTTCTCTCTTTGCTTAGTAATCAAATGAATGTTTGTTTGGCTTGCCTTGCTTACCATTGTGCTACTGAGAGGCCTCTCCATGTTTTGTTGGCTAGTCTTGGTACTTTATATAAATAAAAGGAAACAAAACCAGAGGTTTGATGAAGGACTTGTTAGGTCCCAAGACTACGTGAAATGTTTATTTGCTCTTTCAGGGTCCTAGATTTTCCTTGTTCAGTAAGCCAGCAGCACAGATAACGTGCTGCAGCATGTAATCTGTTCGGTGTAAGGCCAGTGGTTTCTGCACTCCGCAGAAACGCAACAGAATACAGGAGTGGGGGGGCGTGGGGGGGCGTGGGAAGGGCCAGGCTGGACAGACACTGGCCACATTTTAGTAAGTAGCAAAAGTCACGTGAGAACAAGGAATGAGGACCTATTTTGGGGTGCAGGACCACACCTTCCCAGAGTCTCTTCTGTGACTATCAGGTAGGTTTTCCTTCCAGAGAGCTACACAAGCAATCCAAGTCCTCCTCCTCTGAAGATGGTGTTGGTCTTTAGATTACAGAAACTTGGCTTTGAATGACAGCCCCAAATCCAAGAAAATATTTCAACCTCAAGGAATCCCAAGATTCAGGCTACTGGTTCCCTGGAACTAGAAAGGGCAGTAAAACACAGAGCAAAAGAAAAATACAGCCACTGTGTCATCCAGCCTGGCCAAAAATTTCTGTCAAAGGAAATGCTTACATCATCAGTTTCACACTGACCTGAATCCTACATCATCACAGTCTCTTTATAAATGGAATCCACTGCAGATTCCAGCAGGAGGTGTGGGCCAAGAAGCCTAACATTGAGCCCCCATGACTGTCCTGTACTGTGCAGAAGACCTATACTTGTATTACAGGTAGAGAAGCAGAGACTCAATGTGAAATGACTTCCCCAAGTTTACAACACCCAAAGAGACAGATTAAACTAAATCCCATCTAGTGGAATGGCCCAGCCCCCACTTTTAAACTCTAAATCACAAAACATTCTGCTCCACAACTCGAGAATCCGTGAGCATTAGCTCAGACGGTGAGGTGGTTCTTTTTCATGGGAGTCCCTGATAGGCTCCGACTCCTCCATTCTGACTCTGCTGCTGGGTGACTCATTTCCTTTTAGAGATTGGATATCCACATCTATAGAGCAGGCTATGGAGAGAACCAACTTGACATTGTCACACTTCACCCATCTTGAACTAGGATCTGTTCAGAATGATGGGATGGTGTGGTTAAGTGTTCCACTTTGTGTCTGTTCTGTAAAGAGTGTCTCAGTCTGACACTCCTCCCCTCTTCCCCCCATCCTCCTGTTCCAGGCCTTGCCCCTGATCTTCAGCATTGCTCCTAGGCCCCACACAGCAACCAGTGAGGCCATTGCTAACCCTTTCCATTACCCTGTAGAGTCCCACTCTAGCCTTTCTTTTCTCCAAAACACCTTACCTCTTCAGTTCCTGCCTCAACATGAACCAAAAATGCCCTCTTATCACCCCCTCTTTTCGTGATGGACTCCTGTTCCCTCTCTAATGTTTGGCTCAAGTCCTCTGGGAAGTTTCTGAAATTCCACCTACTCACCCAATTGTCTGTTCTGTGCGGCTTTGCTCTCAGCAGTCAATATACAACTACCTTACAAGTCTCTTGCCTATCATTTCCCTTCTCAAGACCTGGGCCCAGCACTGTCTAGCATGGAGCCTGTTTCAGAAACACTGAGAGCATGTACAGATGAAAACCAACTGTGTGTCAGTACGTAAGTCATAGGTGCACATCTGTTAATCAGCATTTGGGAGAGGGAGGCAGAAGTATCAGGAGTTCAAGTTGTCCTCAGCCACAGTACATGGCCAGCCCGAGTTACAACTTAAAAAAATAAAAATTAAGACGGTCTTTTCTAGCCCAGGTTGGCCTTAAATTTCTATCTAGTCAAGGATGACCTCAAACTTGCAGTCCTCCTGCCTCTTATCTCCCAAACGCTGGGATTTTAGGCCTAACCCACTATGCCTGATTTGTGTGCATGTTAGGCAAGCATCCTACAAACAGCTGCATTTCCAAGTTATTCCTTCCTAAGGATCAGAACAGTCTACAAGCAGATGGACTACTACTGAGCATCCTGTCGTCAGGTGAGTGACAGCTGCTGGAGCCAGGCAGAGCCAGGCATGGGTATGGCTTCCCACAGACACACACCATAGGAGCTTACACAGGCCACAGCACCTCTATCACAGGCAAATCTAAGGCTGTGAGTCTGAGGCAAATCCATGCTGCTTTGAGGACTAATGAACGCAGTGACCTTTGAACTGCTATATCTAATAATGTTCAGTGTGTCGTTACCCTCACATGCCCACTTTGTAATCCTAGCACCTGGAAAGCTGAGGCCAGGACAGAATGGGCTACACACTAAGTTCCAGGCCAGTCTAGGCTAGAGAGTGAGATCCTGTCTCAGAGAGAGCGGGGTGGGGGAAATAAAGGGTGGGAGAGAAAGAAAAAAAGCAAGCAAACTCAAGACAAAATGATGTTCCTTGAGCCTCAAGCCCAGGGAATTGTAGCTTCAGGCCAGAGTTACAGCTCCTCAGACTCAGGGAGCTTCCGGACCCAGCCCTGAGCAACCCTGTTGAAACTGGGTCTGAGACGAAGAAGTTCCAAGCCACTGAAGGGCTCTGGGACAAAAGGAGTGCCTGCTTGGAAAATGGTCTCCCCTACGTGGAGTCCTCCAAATGGCACGGGGGTCCTGGAAAAAAAAAAAACAGGAAAGGTAGGCTGTATGAAAGAGGGGTAACACACACACACACACACACACACACACACACACGTCTATGGTACCCCTTAGCCTCTTGAAGCCTCAGTTTTCCCTTCTAGGACGAGAAGTTCTATACTATCATTAACTGGTGTCCTTAGTTCTGTCCAGATCTGTTCCCTGTTGAAGTAAAGAGGAAGCTTCTAGTTAGGAGTGGCCTAGGCACAGTTCCAAGCTCCTCTCCAGTCAGTGCCAAAAGAGAGCACTGGAAGGTGGATTTTTCATTCGTTTTCTTACTTCCCCACAACCTGGAGGACTTCCAGGAGCACTAGGAATCATCAAAATGCAAGTAAGAAGCAGAACCCGGTACACTCCCCCCCCCCCTTGCCCCATAAGCCCTCCAAAGGAAAGAATGCTAAAGTTGATGAGATGGCAGGGACAAAGCCTCATCTGCTGGTTTGGTTTGTGGGTAAATTGGTACTTTTACCTCAGACGACAGATTAGCAGAATCCTTTTTTAACCTGAAAATGTGTAAACTGTCACCCGGCAATTCTATCTCTAAGCATATGGCTGGTGGAGGTTCCCAAGTGCGTGTGCGAAGAAGCAGACAGCAGGGCATTAACAAGCAGGGAAGCAGCCCGGCATCCTCTGATGTAGCGGTGGATAAGCCGGAGCCATAGAGCAGCTCAAGGGAAGTGGAATCATATGTATGCGGGTGGTGGGTTTCAAAGGCACAGAATTGAGTGAAGAAAAGGCAAGCTACAAAATGAAACAGAGTATTCGCGCACACACTGTCTTGTAAGCAGCTGCCAGAACAAATGTTCTAGATCATAAGGCAGCCGGACAACCTTGTCCGCTCTGGACTCTCTCTGATGTCCCTGCCTCTGGCTGTGCTTTCCCACAATAAACTTTCTCCTACACCACACCTAGAAACAGTCATGTTCCTTTCTTTTCCTTTTTTATTTAGTTATTTTTTAAAATTCATCTGGTGCCAAAACCCAGGACCAGTCACGTTTCCTTTTCCTTTTTATTTCTTTCTTTTTTTTTTTTTTCCTTCACAGTTGGCTAATACTGTAAGGGAATTTTGAAGCCTTTGGCTGGGAGAGAGCAGTGCCGGGCATTGAACATGAGGCCTCAGGCATGCTAGGCAAGTGCTGGATACCTCGGTTTATGCACAGTCCTTTTATTTATTTTAAGAAATACAGGAAGCAGTATTCCTGTAGTTCCCTAAAGCGGGGACCAGTGGAAAAGCGGTTTGCTTCTGGGTGGAACTGCAAACCTTAGCCAGGGCCTGGGCTCCTGCCAGGGCAGTACTACTGCTGGACTACCGCAGCTAAACCCTACAGGAACAGACTACCACTGTCTGAGCCCAGCAGGCCTCCCAGTCGGGACTAGGAGTCCAGTGTCTTGGCTGAGCCCTGCTTGTCTACCAGAGGGCTGTTCCTCCCCTGCCACCTCAGTTGCTCCTTCCGACTTAGAAGAGGCCTCCCTAGGACCCTCTTGCTTCTAGGAGAGTACCTCAGCTGCCATTCTGAGGCACTCAACTGGCAAGTCTGCCAGGCAGAAAGCCAGCTGCCAAGACTGAGCGCGCTATGATAATGGATAAATGGTCCGACAGCTGCTGAAGGACCTAGTAGGGCTAGCAATTTGGTCTGGTGGAGAACTTGAAGGCTCTCACAGAGACACTTCTGCCCGGTTCTTCCAGTCAATGTGCGCAGTCAGCTGCTGAGGGCAGTGGGGCCCCTCTCCAGCTGTGTATTCTCAAGGACCCCATCCTTCCATCCTTTCTCCTAGGACCTGGCTAGGTCCTCCCACACAGTGTCTGCCTCTCTGCAGGTACCAAGACAGCTGGCTGGCGGCCTCCTCTCCGGGCCCTTCTTGTTCTCACTCACTGCAGCCCAAACCAGAGGAACATGTTCAGAAACAGCCAGAGGACAGTGGGAACACCCCCAGATGGTGCCCGACTCCAGACCCGCCTCCATCGGGGACCCCTGCCTCTTCGTTGCCCCGTCTGCTTTCCCCATCATGGCTGCCGAGACAGCAATCGCAGAGGCAGCCCTAGAAGTCGCTCATTAGCAGCCCAGGTCGCCTTACGGCATCTCCGTGGCTGCCCTGTGTACTTGGGAATGCTTCATTTCAGAACAACACAGCTGCCCAGACGTTAAGTTGCTTGTTCGAGACCAAACAGCCAGGTCTGGAACCTGCATTTAAGCCTGCATCGAGGCCGTACACTAAGCCAATAGAGGCCACTCCTTCAGCAGCCTTCATCTCTGGTGCTGTTTTCCTGCTTTCCACAGCCTCAGGGCCACCTTCCATACCGACTGGTGAAAGAAAAAAGCAGGGTGGGTCTAGAACTGGTGAGATCTGGAGGGACAGAGTTTGTGTGTCCATCCCAGAGCTGGATAGAGAACAAGACTTCCAGGACTTGAAGCCCTCCGGGTTCTTGGACTGAGCATGGGTTTCATATCCCTGAGCGTGGTCTCTCTTCCTTTGTAGAATGAGTGGAGCCTGTCTCTGTGGTAGCATGACGGGGTTGCGGCCCTTTCACCTTTTACACATGCACTGACACAGGCGCACACTTACTGAACACCGGAAAGATGCAAGGCACTATTCTAGTAAGATCTCAGTAAACCAGTACAAAGGGCTGGAGGCTAGAGCCAGCAAGCAGAAAAGCACCCAGGCCTCCCGACCCCGTGCAGCCTGGCTTTACTTGTTAAAGTTGCGATAGTCGCGGGGGATGGGAGTGTGGCTTCTGCTGCCATTCGTGTAGTCTTGGTAGCTGACGAACTCCTGCCACGGGCAACGGTAGCCTTTGGGGATGGCGGTGTGGTTGAACTTCTCAGGCGGGACGCCTTTCAGCGGCTCCGCGTAGCCTGGGGGTGGAACGGCGCTGGTGACAGCTCTACCAGTCACGCACACTGCCACCTAGTGGGCAGGAGTGGCAAAGGCGGGGAAGAGGAATCCAGAGAGCGGAGGAGAGGGCAGCCTCCTGATCCCAGAACTCCTGACCCCAGGAAGGGCTGGACCAGTGCTGTGTGACCAACCTGGACTCTTTGATAGGAGTCCCAGGACGTAGGGCAGCTGCTCACCTGGCGCCAGGGCGCTTGGACTTCGGACCGATTCAGCCCCAGCGGCACCCGGGTGGGCTGTCCAGGCGTCCCCAGGTGACTCATGGAACACGTGGATTTCGGAACTGTGGTTCTGCTGGTTCTGCTCCGCCGGGCCATTGGGAACCTGAGCACAGGGGTGGGCGCTCAGAGGGCGATGGCCGAGCCGCTCTCTAGCGGCCAGGTCCCTTCCCGCAGCTGTCCCTGGGAAAGGGGCCTTCCTTCTCACCGTCCCCTGCGGCGCTCTGCCAGCCACTTTCCCTCGGGCACTTCCCGCCAGGATCTGTGGGCGAATAAAAGGGCAGGGACGCTCAGCAGAGCAAAAGGCCAGAATTTCATCACCTCCGCCTAAGGGATGGAGAGAGGGGGTGAAGGACCGGGGAGCCCGGGGATGTAGGAAGGACGAGGTATGGTTCATTACGATGGATGAGGCAGTGCCTGCGATGGAGAAGTAGCAAAAGCAATCACTGCTACTGTAAAGCCATCCGGGGTTTGTGTGTTGCTGAGGATGGAACCTAACGCGTCGTGCATGCTGGGCAAGCACTCAATCAACTGGGCTACAGCATGCCCCATATTCTTTGTCCATCAGCCAACAGTTCGATGGCAGTGATTCTCAACCTGTGGGTCGCGACCCTGTCCGCAACCCTCTGTCTCCAAAAATATTTATATTATGATTCATACCAATAACAAAATTGCAGTTATGGAGTAGCAGCAAAAATAATTTTGTGGTTGGGGGGTCACCACAACATGAGGAGCTGTATTAAAGGGCCACAGCAGCGGGAGGGTGGAGAACCAGTGTTCTAGGCCATCTCCTTCTATATTTCCCACCCGAAACCAACCTGAAGTCTGAACTGCTTCTGACATGAGGTAAACAGCCCATGGCATAATCTAGTGAGGGCACAAAAGTGACACCGCACTCCACCCACAAAGAGCCTCACTGTCTCACTGGCTTTAGAATAAACACTGGCTCCCTCTTGGCCTTGGTTTCCCCAGGGGCCCATGACGGCTTACTCACACCCTGCAAGCTTTCTGACAGCTCAAAGGTGAACTTCTGCACCCGGCGCTGCCTCTTCTGAAAGAGCAGGGATCCCCGGTTGTTTCGCAGAGACAGCTCCTCTATCATCAGGTCCTGGGGTACACTCAGCTTCTTCCCCAGGTCCAGTGAAGGGACTGTGGGAAAGGTCAGAGAGGGCTCTTACTATCTCACCTCAAGGCGGCTTCACCACAACCCCCGGGCACCACCACGCCTCATGCTTGCCAGCACTAGGCATTATCATTCCTTGGAATGTTTGCCATCTGAGGGCTAGAAAGACACCTCAAAGCCGGGGCGTGGTGGCTCTGCACACATACAATCTCAGTACTCAGGGAGGCAGAAGCAGGGGGATCTCTGTAAGTTTGAGGCAAGCCTGGCCTACAAAGTGAGTCCAGGACAGCCAAGGCTACACAGAGAAACCCTGTCTTGACACCGCCTCTCTCTCTCTCTCTCTCTCTCACACACACACACACACACACACACACACACACACACACACACACAC